ACTAGAATCCTTGAGGGTTCAACCAAGACAAAATTAACTCTTAGCATCCGGCTATACTGAGCTGCTTGTCATATAATGTTATGTCTTGATAAAGTCATGTTTTTGAGACATAATTCAAAAGGTCCACAACAATGCCAATCCGTACTGTTAAATCACCTATTAAAAAGTGGAAAGTTTGGGGATCTCTTGATACCAAGCTAAAGTCAGGTATCTAGCCTTACAAACTCTATCACCAGCATGAGACTGCAGGCTTGGCTGGTTTAAATTAGGTTTGGTCTCCACCCAGAGACTGGGTACATCAATTACCTTGCAGGTGGGCTGGTGGACAGGGAGAATGCATCACAGCCAAAACCAGGGTGCTGGAATGAGACCAGCAGCTGTCATGGAACAGGAGTGTTGCACGCTCCTAACAATAGGATCCACAATTGGAGGGCAACTCTGATGCTGATTCATGGTGGGGAGCACATGGATTCATAAGGTCCTTTGAGAAAGGTTGTTATGGACTACTATGATCAGGTCATCCATCATACACTTGGATGAAAAAGGCCATGTATGACCTATAGTGATACTTGGTGGCTTCTGAATATCTAACTGTATGCTTTCTTTTTTTTGTTTTATTTTATTTTAGGGCACCTGCTGGAAAAAGATAAGGACATGAGCTTAGGCCAGAAATTAAAAAACATGCTGATCTCTTCTATTGACAGTGCAAATTTAGATGCAGCAGATGACCCACAAGAGGTCCTTACAGTGTTAGTAGACCTGGTAAGTGGGCATTAAAATGTATACCATTGTACATTGATTGTATATCATTCGGTAAAAGACATGTCAGTAATAAACTCAATGTAAGTACTTGGTTTAGTATAGGTTGGTTTACCAGACCCGATTTTAGTCATATCCCTTCACAATGTACTGTATGTAAAGTACTTGTGTTCTATAGAGCATTGTTTCTCACCTTTTTTCAGTCAAGGCACCCTTTAAAATTATGGACAGTCTAGAGGCACCCCATTCTAAAATGTAAAAAACGTGTCTAGTAGTTTTATATAACGCAGCAGCATCCACAAATGTAGGACACCCAACATTAGAGGTAATTTATTCTTCGAAAGCATGTACACTTTTGCACACTGGTACTGACTAGTATTCCAATGTTTCTCTTCTCCCTCCCTTTATCTTCTCCATCACTGAGCTAATGTGGCCCCAGCACTGATGGAAAGGGGCAGGGGATTGTCAAACTAGGATTCTGTGCAGGCAGCTGACATCCTCAACTGATGTCATTGGTTGTCAGGGTGCCGGTGGCTAGAAGGTCGTAACAGTGCACAATGAAAACCTGTAGCTTTGTGTAACTAAAAAGGCAGGTTTGTTCCACCCGCTGGCTAGTGTACACGCTTTGGGCAAATTTTAGACATTTTGCCAAGGTACCCCTGAAGAAACCTCAAGGCACCCCTGGGTGCCTGGGCACTCTGGCTGAGAAAGGCTGCTACAGAGTATACACTGACTCAACATCAATAGGCAGCATTAAAAAGCATGCCAGGTTCTAGTTTAATCCGAAATCGCCAATCTGTCTTGTGGGCTCCCTTCAGCTCCCCAGGCTCTGTTGGGAGATAAAGCTCATATGTATTGTTACCTGCTGTTGTTCGAATGCAATTGTTTCATGTGCATGCACTGCCTTCAACCTGTCAGTGTAAAACAGTGCAAAGAACAGTTAGACGCACATGTCCAGATATCTGCTGTGTGCTTATATTGTACAAACCCACACAGGATATAAAGTGACACAGCTGTCCCAGTGTGGTTTTGCACAATACTAACAATAGTCGTTTGGAGAAGTGAGCAATGTTTCTGTGACTAGTTTTATATGTTAACATATATAACTAGTCACAGAAACATACATATGAAGAGCGATCTCAGCAACTTATTATGTACAATCTGGAGGAAAGAAGGGAAAAGGGAGACATGATTGAATACTTTAAATACATCAAGGGGGTGAATAAGGTTCAGGAGGGCAGTATTTTCAGTATGACACCAAAATGAAGAACACGGGGACATGACCTTAAACTAACTGGAGGAAAGTTCAAAACTCATCTCAGAAAATATTATTTTTACTGAAAGAGTAGTTGATGCTTGGAATAAACTTCCAGCAGAGGTAGTGAGTCAATCAACAGTAAATAGCTTCACACATGCTTGGGACAAGTAATAGATCTATACTCAGGTAAAAAGCTTAATAAAAAATAAAACAACCCCCCCCCACCATAAAATAAATGGTGGACTTGATGGACCATTTGGTCTTTTTCCTGCCATCTCATCTATGTTTCTATGTAAACTAGCTTTGGTATCTACAACTTGCACCAGCAGTGCTGCTTATTCATTGCTAGTATGACTTTCTTTTCCTTTTACTACAACAGTATTGTAAAATGAACAATAACAGGATGAGGGTCCTTCAATGGTTGGAGGACTCGCCTGTGTTCCTGCATGTGTGCAATCAGGAGTAGACGGAAGATTTAAAAGGGAAAGAGCATACTATGTTGTATAGCTCATGTGAAACCAACTTCTACACGCTTTCCAGAATTTTAGTGAAAATCTATAAAAGCTCAAATCTAAATGGGCCAAGTGTTTTTTCTACCATTGTATTGTTTCTCTGCTTTAGCCTTAGTTCACACTGGTGCGACTTGAGGTGCAACATGTGATTTTACAAATCGCATCTGAAGTTGCATTTAATGTATTTCTATGGCACTGTCTTATTCAGTGAGATTTGAAGTAGCACAATTTCAAAGTTGCATTCAGTGTGAACCAGGGCTTAATCTGAGATCTGTATAGAATGGTTTATTTGATTTTTGTCTTACTATTGGCCTATTACTCTCTAGAAAAATAAACAATAAGCTTTCACTTTAAAAGTATGTGTCACTTTGATTGGTAAGCCACTATAGGCAGTCCCCAAGTTACAAACAAGATTGGTTCTGTAGGTTTTGTTATGTCAAATTTCATATGTAAGTTGGGACAGGTAAATTTTTTTAAGTGTAACTCCAGCCAAAAAAAAATTATTTTTAAGTTTTGGATAGCATGGGGGGAGGGTTAACTGGCCATACAGTGATGTGGGATTGCTGACAGATCCTCCAGATAGTAGGTGGCAGCATACCGTGAGCAGCAAGATGGCTTCCTGGCAGTTTGCAGGACCAGTGTGACGTCACGCTGCCTGCAGTCTTAAATATGTGTTGTATGCAAGTCTGATATTTGTAACTTGGGGATTGCTTGTATAACTCTAATGCAATTGGTACTTGCCAAAAAAAAAATAAGTGGCCCTATCAGAATTTTTAAAACCTAAAACTAGCAGCTTCCAACAAAGCAAATCGCTTATACATTCCTGTACCCTTGCACAGCAGAGGGAAACTTACTGAAATATCTACACTTGACACATCAAGGAATGTCGGTTCCATCTGCTCTCTCATATGTCTGTATACAATGCAGTAGTGACTGTGGTGCAGTGCGTGGGGGGGCAGGGGGCAGGGAACCATAGATCCAACACACCCGGAAGGTTCTCTCTTATTTGCAGCAAAGTTCAACTTGACAGGGAAGTACAAACTGTTTACTTTACAGAGAGATGCTAGTTATAGGTTTTATAATTCCTGACATAGTCCTTTTATACATTTATATAGGGCCCTAATTCTGACATTACAATGATTGTAAACCCATATTTTTTTTTTCAACTACCAAACATGTCATACTATTCTGTGTAATGGTTTTGCACAGTGAAGTCCCGATCTTCCTCTCCTCAGGTCCCCCGCTGGCGCCCCCTCCCTGTGTACCCATAATAGTGTTGACTAGTTTACCTGTATTTGTGAATACACCCCAATCCTTGTAGTATTTACATATATCCAGCTAGATCTGAGAGTTCCTTCACAAAAGAGGTAGTTCCATCTGCAATATACATTTATTGATAGAGTTACATAATATATACAAATTACACGCTAAGCAGTATTTACAACACAATGTACACTTTGAGTCTCTTGACTTATACGATATTTACAATTTACCCACAAAACCATGTTTAAAATACAATATACAAGTATGAAGTTAGTTTACCTCTCAACTTTAGGTCTAGTCACCCTGCCTGCTGTATGTGTCTCATCACAAAGAGACCCCAGCTGGGTGACAAGGCCTTATATCCTTCGTCGCTGCTCAAACTCCCTCCAACCCCCTTCCCCCTCACTCAGCTACCCCCTCTACACCCCTCTCCCACGGCCCCACCACTGCTCTTACCTCCTCTCCCACCCCACCCTACATTCCTCATACTGAAGCTCCCCCAACACTCCGCACCTTTGACCTTACTACCATCGAAGAAGTCTCCCAGATCCTCTCTGATGCCCGCCTCACCACCTGCCCCCTTGACCCTATCCCCTCACAACTCCTACAACCTCCCTCCCCCTCCATCCTACGCTCCCTCACCCACATCTTCAATCTCTCCCTCTCCTCCGGCACTTTCCCTTCCCCTCTGAAACATGCACACACATCACCCCCATACTTAAAAAGCCCTCCCTGGACCCCAATGACCCGAACAACCTCAGACCCATCTCCCTGCTCCCATTTACATCTAAACTCCTCGAGCGCCTAGTCTACACCCGCCTATGCTCTCACCTCAACGACAACAACCTCCTCGATCCCCTACAGTCCGGCTTCCGTCCCCTACACTCCACCGAAACTGCCTTACTCAAACTCTCCAACGACCTGCTAACCGCCAAAGCTAATGGCCACTATTCAGTGCTCCTACTCCTTGACCTCTCTGCGGCCTTCGACACAGTCGACCACCCCCTCCTCCTCAAAAAACTACACTCCCTCGGCCTCAGAGATTCTGCTCTCTCCTGGCTCTCATCCTACCTGTCACAACGCTCTTTCAGCGTTACCTATAATGCCACCACCTCCCTCTCACTCCCCCTCTCTGTTGGGGTCCCTCAAGGCTCTGTCCTCGGGCCCCTTCTCTTCTCCATCTACACCTCCTCCCTTGGCCAACTCATACACTCTCACGGCTTCAACTACCACCCCTATGCCGACGACACACAAATCTATCTCTCAACCCCCCACCTCACCCCCTCGGTCTCCACCCGAATCACACACCTGTTGAGCGAAATATCAGACTGGATGTCGCTCCACTTCCTTAAACTGAACCTCTCCAAAACCGAGTTTCTTGTCTTCCCTCCAGCCCGGACGCCACCCCCCATTGACTTCTCCATCATGTCCAACAACGCCACCATCAAACCCGCCCCGCAGGCCAGAGTACTTGGTGTCATTTTGGACTCCAACCTATCCTTCCAGCCCCAAGTCCACTCTTTAACTAACTCGTGCAGACTCCACCTCCGCAACATCGCCAAAATCCGCACGTTCCTAACTCCAGAAACCACTAAACAGCTCATCCACTCCCTCATCATATCACGACTCGACTACTGCAACTCCCTCCTCACTGGCCTGCCTCGCCGTTGGCTATCCCCGCTTCAGTCCATCCTGAATACGGCTGCCAGACTCATTCACCTTTCCAACCGCTCCGTTTCCGCCACCCCCTCTGCCAATCCCTCCACTGGCTTCCGATTGCGCAACGGATCAAATTCAAAATCCTAACACTGACGTACAAAGCTGTCCACCATACTGCCCCGAACTACATCTCTGACCTAATATCCAAGTACCGCCCAACACGCACACTCCGCTCCTCACAAGACCTCCTTCTCTCTAGTTCCCTGGTCTCCTCCTCCCATGCCCGCCTCCAGGACTTCTCCAGGGTGTCACCCATCCTCTGGAACTCCCTGCCCCAACCCATCAGATTATCACCTACTCTCCTCTCCTTTAGGCGCACCCTGAAAACCCATCTCTTCAGGGAAGCCTACCCCGCCCCCTGCTAACTTGCCGACCTCCTCCACTCTTCCTACCACTCCATCCCCCACAGCTATCTCCTCCTGTGCCACCATCCCCTCCCTCCTAGATTGTAAGCTTGAAAGAGCAGGGCCCTCGATCCCCTCATGTTTTGCATTGTATTGGTATTGTTCTGTCACATGTTCTGTCCCCCTTTATAATGTACAGCGCTGAGCGAACTATTGGCGCTTTATAAATACTGTATAATAATAATAATAATAATAATAATATCCCCCCCCCTCCTGTCTGTACTGAGGCTAATATAATGCTCACTAATTGGACACTGTACCTAGCCAATGTATATTGGGCACAGATTGGAAGTTCAAAGAAGGCTGCTGTTTACCACTCATGTGAGATATGCTAAGGGGACAACAAAAGGCCAGAACTTGTATAGTGGAAAACTCCATATATATTTACACCAGTATGGAAGCTAGAAAGTTTTAATGCTGCAAAACACTCAATGGTTTAAATAATGTATATTTCCAGCTAACTAAAATATACTTGTAATTATAACATTATTTACATCACAATGTACACTTTGAGTCTCTCGACTTATATGATATTTACAATTTACACACAAAACCATGTTTAAAATACAATATACAATACAAGTATGAAGTTAGTTTACCTCTCAACTTCAGGTGTAGTCATCATGCTTGCTGTATGTGTCTCATCACAGAGACCCCCAGCTGGGTGACCAGGCCTTATATCCCCCCCCCTCCTGTCTGTACTGTGGCTAATATAATGCTCCCTAATTGGACACTGTACCTAGCCAAAGTATATTGGGAAAGCCTGATTGGAAGTTCAAAGAAGGCTGCTGTTTACCACTCATGTGAGATATGCTAAGGGTACAACAAAAGGCCAGAACTTGTATAGTTGAAAAATCTATATATATATATTTACACCAGTATGGAAGCTAGAAAGTTTGATGCTGCAAAACACTCAATGGTTTAAATAATGTATATTTCCATCTAACTAAAATATACTTGTAATTTTAACATTATTTATATCCATTAATGGAGATTTCACATAAACTCATTATCTAACAATAGCAAGCTGCTTGCTATAAGGGCACTCATACGGGCTTGCTCCAGAGCTGGCTCTGTGTGTCCATACACATGGCTGCGCCCACCACTCCCTCCCCACTGGTGGTGGTTAGCAGCAGCTGAAGCCAATGTCTCCCACTGCTGTCTCTAAGCCTATAAAGAAGAAGAGAGCCAAGAGAGCTGCTGCCTTTGTGCACAGCGCTGGATTAGGATCGGGCTCATGTAAGTATATGGAGAGACTGGGGAAGGAGCTGCAGTCAGGTTTTTACCCTAATACAGAGAATGCAATAAGGTAAAAAAAAAACAAAACCTATAACCACTTTAAGGATTGAATTTTAAAGGAAAGTAGAGTAGAGAATATTTCTCATCATATTCTAGCATGAAAATTGTAGCAAATGAGCCAAACTTTGAACCTTATTTTGATTTGGATTGCAGCTCAATGATAAAGAAGAGGCTTTAGCCCACCAAAGGAAGGTGAGCTACATGCTTGCTAGGACTATAGAAGACAAAGTGGAATCTTCAAGAAACCATAAGAGAAGTTCTCGGAAAGAGACTGCTGCTGTTGGTGACCATCACTGTTGCATTGACCTAAAGGAAAATGTTCCATGCCCAGTTGAAACAGATCCCACCACAGATGAAAGTCATAGCATGAAGCAAGATTTGCTTAGGTCCTTGGAAACCTCTTATTCTTTGCAGCTAAAGGATGTTTATCCTCAACGAAAATACAAAAATAGAACTTCCCCTGATCAAGAAGCACAACTAAAGGAAGAAGAGTCTCAAACATAATGGCTCTAAAATATGAATGTTGTTATAGTGATTATTGATATTAAGACTCATTCATGTTTCTTATAAATCTTTTAAACATTGCCAATAAGCAAAAAGGTGCTTACTCTG